CAAGCCATTGAAAACATGCATATTGTTAGGTCCATCACCTGTTGCGCTTGCTTCTGCCTTCGGCCGCGCTTAGGGATTATAACTCTTACTAAGTAGAACTCTCCTTTCTTTGTTGCCGGAGAAGAGGGGCTTCCGCGTCTCAAAGGTATACAATATTTCTTCTGCATATCGCAGTGGTTTTGCGCAGAACCCACATCGAAATTGCAAAAAAGTGCGTAGTGCGTTAATAATTTGAAACATTTATTTTAAATAAAGGTTTAATCCTTCGATTACACGTGTATGTTAAAGTTTTTTGGATTCGGGTTATGCGTTTGGACACAACAACCGAAAATCATTGTAGAAATAACTAAACCGGAACCAAGTTTCTCGGGGAAGAAAGAATCTTTATATAAAGCAGTGGATAAAAATATACGTATATGCGAAAGGCAAATTTATCTGTTTAAGTAAACACCACTAATATTTCCTGCAAACACACATCGATTTATATATTTTTTCTCGCCTCCGACACAGCACTGTTTTCGTACAAAATTACGCAAAAAATCTTACTCGTTCGTTTTTAGGCATGCCATTGTTACGAATTTCGAAAGTTCGAAGATGCGATTCGGATTGCAGCATTCCATTCCTACGATTCGTAGCAAAATCCGAATACGAAAGTGTTGCAGAATAGGGGTGTTTGTCTTTACAGAAAAAAATAAATAAAGAGGATAATCCAATCGTTTGTGCCACAGAAACAAAAAAGAACTAAGCACTTTTTAACACCCCCAAAATAGTTTGGTACTTGTAGCTATGTCTGAATTTGGCATCCCCTCAAAACTCATACTGTGTAAAATGACGTTGAGCAATACCATCAGCTTTGTCAGAATTGGGAAAGACCTCTCTGAGCCGTTCGCCACCAAACGGGGTTTCAGTCAGGGCGACTTCCTTTCATGTGACTTCTTTAATCTGATGTTGGAGAATATAATAATAGCTGCAGAACTGAACTGCTCAGAAACAATTTACAACAAGAGCGTGCAATTGCTGGCTTATGCCGATGACATCGACATCATCGGTAACAAAAACCGCGAAGTCTGTTCCGCCTTTTCCAGGTTGGATAAGGAAGCAAAGCGAATGGGTCTGGTGGTAACCGAGGACAAGACGAAGTATCTCCTGCCATCAAACAAACAGTCAGCACGTTCGCGCCTCTGCACCCACGTCACTGTTGACAGTTACAATTTCGAGAAAGTAGAGAATTTCGTTTACTTGGGAACCAGCATTAACACCGATAATAATGTCAGCATGAAAATCCAACGCAGAATCACTCTAGCCAACAAGTGATACTGAGTAGGCAATTCAGGAGTAGAGTCCTCTCTCGAAGTACGAAAACCACACTCTATAAGTCACTAATCGTGCCCGTGCTGGTATATGGCGCAGAAGCATGGACAATGACAACATCCGATGAGGCGGCTCTTGGAGTATTCGACAGAAAGATGTTACAGCGCCAAATAAGAAGAGGTACAACAATAACCCCCTTTGTGTGACAACATCAAGGCGCATGCCACAAATCGGAGGATAAACTCGGCCAAACACTAACACATGTATATGTAAGCGCTAATAACTTTTGGTTTTAAAATTTTAACAAAAGTCGTTATAAACAATTTATGAGATTGAAAATGAGGCATTCCATGTCACCGCGGCCACCTCTGTGCGCGGCCTCTCAGGATTTCGAAGGAAGTCGAAGAGATTAAAGGTGTAGGACATAAATATACGTGCAGCATATTTTTTCGATATAACGTAGGGTTGACTATTTACAAGGGACTTAAATTTTAGGATCACGTCATACATACCTTTCTTTAAAGTGCTGTATCTTGGAAACCTGTTAACGAAGCTTAATGAAAAAAAAACTAATATTTTCCATCTTATTATGGCTTTAATTGTACATTTTTTACATTAATGTGCAACGTATAAATAACAAAAAAATATTAAGTAAGCATTTTTCGTTTTGATTTTTTTTTTGATTATAGCATTTTTTTGAGTTTTTATTTTTACATCGAAAAATTGTCTATAATGATGTCTATAATGTCAACTTTAAGTACCCAAATGGCCGTAATGGGCTACTTAGGCTTATGGACTCTAGATCGTCTAACGCTCGAGCAATATCATAAATAGACATTGAAATTTTACGAAATTGTATTTTTTTGAAAAAGGTAAGTTGTATAAAAACGAAAACAATATGAATAAATCATATAAACTTTACTAAAGGTCTGAAATCATGAAAATCCCTTCAAGGAAATGGCAGAATTGAACTTAGTGGCAAGTTCACATGGGAAATCTGCTTACGACGGGATTGAAGGAAATTTTAAGAGACTAGCAGCTAGAGCAAGTCTTCAACTCCTGATGTTACAACAAATTCGTACACCCGAAGCCTTCTACCAATGGGGTGCTGTATGTTTCCAATGGGAAGCCTGTAAAAAATAACTGCAACTAACTTTACAGTGGAGTTACATTAACAACATCAACATCAACAACACTCATTGCAAAAGAATATTAGACCTCCAACGATAGCTTCAAGGTTAGTCCTTTTATTAAAACTAGAAAAAGAAAAGGTGTGTAAAAAAAATAAACCTAATGAGTAATAAAAGCATAGTATCAAAAAAACCAACACATGCTTTTATTATAATAAGAACTAAAAAGAAAAAAATATTTTGTGATTTAAAGACTCGTTAAATAAGAATATGAAGTTCCTTAACTTGATGTTATTTAACCTTTTAAACTAGCTTAATATAGGATTAAAGTAATTGGCACGTAGCCATAGTTGAAAGAAAGTCCACTGTCAAGTGAGTTTCTTAAAATTGCCTCCAATCAACAATGCAACAAAGTTCAATTCTGCCATTTCCTTGAAGGGATTTTCATGATTTTAGACCTTTAGTAAAGTTTATATGATTTATTCATATAGTTTTTGATTTTTACACACTTCCTCTTTCAAAAATATACAATTTCATAAAATTTCAATGTCTTTTAATCATATTGCTCGAGCGTTAGACGATCTAGAGTACACACGCCTAAGTAGCCCATTACGCCCATTTGGGTACTTAAAGTTGACATTATAGACAATGTTTTTGTGTAAAAACAAAAATAAAAATGCTATAATCAAAAAAATTAATCAAAAAAAAAATGTTTACTTAATTTTTTGTTTGTTTTTTATACGTTGCACATTAATGTAAAAATGTACAATTAAAGCCCATAATAAGACGGAAGAAATAAATTTTTTCGTTAAGTTTCGTTAAAAGGTTTCCAAGACACAGCACTTTACAAGTAAGGTATGTATGTATAACGTTTTCTTAAAATTTAAGCCCCGTGCGAATAGGCAATCCTACGTCATATCGGCAAAATATGCTGCACGTATATTCATGTCACCTAGGCATTCAATCTCTTCAACTTTCATTAAAATCCTTAGAAGTCGCGCACAGAGGTGGCCGCGGTGACATGAAATGCCTCAAATAAAAACGTGGAGCGCATGCAATACAATTCCATTACATTTAATTGAGAATAAGTCTTTCATTTAATAGTCAAACTACATAACATAGACCTAAAATTTCTACAGCACAAGTACAAATTTCAGATCGATTTTAAGCGATCGATATCCATATACCCACATGCATACATACATACATACATATATATGCACACTTATGGGACTGCGAAATATTATTTTCTACTTTTCAGCCCATCTAGAGAAACGTGGTATCTTAAAAATTTTATTTTATTTTATTTATTTCTTTATTTTTTCGACTTCGACCATCGCTGATTTCAAAAATTTCTATGAAAGTTACCAAATATATAGTATTTAGCTAAAAGAATATTAACTTTCGAATAAATTGGTACCTCACTTAATGCGATTGCATAAAAATTGTCGAAGTTAAGCGATTTAAGCAAAAATACTTCCTTGAATTTATATGTGTGTTATGTATGTACCGGAATTTTACATTTTTTGAGCAGTGTGGCTAAGGAATTCATCAATATTCACTCAAAATTTAAATATACAATATCTCTTTAGCAAAAAAAAATTTCGTAAAAATTTTAGAAAAATGGGCGTGGCACTGCCCACTATATGATAAATGTATCTCAAAAACTAATTCACCCCTCTCGACCAAATTTGATATACACGTTGTGCTTAAGCATCTTAAAGAGGATAAGTACAATAGGAGTAAGTACAACATGTAAATCAAATTTGGTCGAGATTAGTGGTTTGAGATACGCATATATGATATAAGTGGGCGGTGCCACACCGATTATAAAAAAATTTTATGAAAAATCGTTTTTTTGCAAAAGATTATCTATATATATATCAATTTTGAATAAATATTGATGAATTCTTTAGCCAAACTACTAAAAACAATCTGAAACTCCGGTATATACACACATACATATAAACTCAAGGCCGTATTTCTGCTGAAAATGTTTAAAAAACTTTTTAGAAAAATAGGTGTTTTTAAAATTTTAAAAGCTGTGTAAGTCTAACAATATCGAGCCCTAACCGCCAAAAAAAAATTTAAGCGACTTGTTTTTCAAAATTTTCTTTTTGATACATATCTGCATCAAAAATAAAGTTTAGAAAAATATTGTCGCTTACATCTTTCTGACAGCTGGGGCTCGATATATGTTTGATTTTAAAAATCTTATGAAAAACAGTCAAGGTGTTCAAGTACTAAATAACGGGATTTTGCGATTAAACTAAAAATGGAGGCTTCAGGAATTATAAGCAACCTATTTTTATGTTATTCTACCCTACCCACAGCCTTCACTAAGTTTTGTTTCGAGTGTGTTTCAATCAAGTAATTTACGTCCCTGTCAGCGAAAATACATTTTTACCAGAATCCATTGATATTTTCCAAAAAAATTTAGTAATATTGAGAGTTATGATTTTGAGAACGAAAAAGGAATTGCTTTCTCTTAAAACCTTGTATGGCGGTTATTTCTTTTTTGCAAAAACATAAATATACATATGTAAATAACTCGCTTACGATCCAATCCACCAACATATGTCATGGTAATTTCACAATGGCCCCAAACAGCGGAAACGACGGGATACAGTTTTTTTCCTTTGAGTCCCTTAAACGCAACTCCGAGGTATTGCTGATCAACTATAAAGCTTAAGGTGCCTTCGTCCATATCCAAAGCAACTAAAAATCTATCTGGGACTAAAAAAGCTTCATCATTTTTAAGTATGGCTGGATAGGTTGTTCCTACACAATTTTTTGAATCGTGATACAGTTTATTTCTTCCTAAGTCCCAACCCCAGCTCTGATCTGACAAACCTACTAAGCTTTGGTAGCCGACTGAATGTAAAGGCGCTTCAGCTGTGGCTACTCCTACTACAGCGTGTGTACCTCTTTGCCTTGTGGGCCAATATATCTCCCATATGTGTAGGCCTTTTGTTAGACCGATTTTACCTCGTATGCAATCTGTACTTTGAGCCACAGGATGTCTATGAAATGTCAATTTATCGTCTTCTTTTACAAATATATTTAGTGATCGGTCTTCAGAATTCCACGAATGTTTAATTTGAATCTCTTTACTTGCAGGAGGCATATCCAGTAAAATGTCTAACCGCGTAGGCTTTATGAAATCCGCAGCAAGTTCACGTGGTATTAATGGTTTCAAGTTGGAATGTGTGTCATTTCGACTAACTGATTTTGCACCTCCACTTATTTTTTGGCCCATGTTCATACCACGGCAGCTTCTAGGTTTTCTTTGGTCAACAATAGCGACTTTATATGAGAGTTTAATGCGTTGAAATTCTCTTGTAGATGAAATATTTTGCGGTCGACGTCTATCTGTAGCTCTTATGCCAGGCATCCGACCACCTTTATATCTGAAAGATACAATAAAATATAAACAAGTAATTTAACAACAATTTTTTTAAGACAAGCTTTTAGTATAGGCAAAAAAAAATCGACCTCCGTACCACCTGACGTCTAAATTTTTTGCGAACCATAAATACAGGTTTTTCAAATATCTTGAATACTGCGCCACCTATAGGGTAAATTTTGAGTCGTTTTCATGTAGGTAAAATACATTCCATGAACGATATCGGTCCATAAATACGGGGTTTTCAGATATCTCGACACTCACGCCACCTAACGGATTATTGCATCATTCACATTGCATTGTCATCGGGTTCTAAGCTAAGTTTAAGGTTTCAAGTTAGCTCATCGGAAGTTGGTTAAAAATTGATTGCAAGAATTGATTACATACAGGTGAAACATGATAAAAGCTCGTAAAAAGGTTTTAACCTTTAACTATGGAGGTGAATTTTTTGGACATAGTCTATGACCTGGTGGTAAATTTTACCCCTTTGAATTTTAGTTAGAAATTTGAATACAAATTGGCTATTTTATAATAATTTTTTTTTAACCTAAGCTACTAGATTTTTAAATTAAAATAAATAAAAAATTTTATTTTTCCTTTTAAAATCAACAAAAGTCCCACTTTATTTCAGAAGGCTTTTATTATTCACAAGAACGAAAACATCACATAGTAAACTTATAAAAAAAGTGTAAAATAAAAATTAATCTAAAGCTTTAAATTTAAAGAAATACAAGAGATCATATTAAAAAAATGTAATTGTTAAAAATACAGGTCAACCTTCCATGAAAGAAAAAGTTGCATAAACGTTGAGGAGTGGTAATTTTTACACCAGCATCCGCCCACGCTACACCTTCCACAGCAAAAACATAACTGATCAATAACGACAACGAAATGAGAAGATACTGAGAGAATCAAGTTGCTGGAGCGCAACATAGGAGAGTAATTGAAAAAAATTTAAAGAGGGGGTAAATTTTACCACCACCTCCACAGTTAAAGGTTAAGGGGAACTAACTTTTATGAGACAGGGACAAAGACGTGCCAAGTTAAATGAGAAATTTATTTGCACATATCGAAATGGTCAGCTCTATTGCGAATTTGCATGTAAATTGGCAGGGGAAAAGTCATTCAGCCCTATTCTGTATTTCGATTACGTTCCCGCATTCCACTCCGCTACAATCGTAATTTGGCATTCTGAGTTACGATCGAATCGAAAGAAGAAGAGGAAGAGCGAAAATATCTTGGAAATCAGCTGGTTGCCTAGGAATGTGTGAAATCGAAACAAAACAAAAGAAATCATTGCCACCAAACTATAGCGGCTTATGAAGTTAAAATTTGTAAATATTTTAAAATAACTAAATATATCTAACTCATTTTAATTTAAAACTAAAATTTCGTTTGTTCTTAATTTAAGTCGAAACATAATTCAATTGCTTGAAGAGCAGAACGAGTCCCAGATTGCTGATGCGAAAGCTGAAAGGCGGAGATTTAGGGACGTGTTTGATCCTTTTCAGATGAGTGAAGAATTATAAGAAATTAATCTTGAACTGCATTACTCACCGCTCAAAGCCAGTGAAATTATGCACTCCACATTATTTGCATTTAGTATAGAGTGGAAGATTTGAACGCAAGTGAATTCGATTTTGAAAGCCGTCAGGGAAGAACAAAGCTCATCCTTTCATAGCAAATCGTATTCGAGACAACATACGCAGCTCGTTTTAAAAAGTTGGTAAAAACGAGTACAATTATAAAAACATCTTTTTTATGGTACTCCACATTTTATGTACGTATGTCTGTACATAAATCCATTAATGTTATATAAAAAGAATAAATTGTATTCAGTGCATTTCACAGTCTTATTTATAGACAATGAAAATAAAAACGCCTGCACTTCCTCTTTGAAAACCCCACGTAATATCCCTTTTGGTTGCCATTATTTGAGCCAATTTTTCGTATTGCCCGGATTACTGCTCGCGACTTATACAAATCATGTACAGTATATTTTACTTAATTTTTTTATAAAATTTTAATATTTTAACCCACGAAAATAACAACCGAAACGTTCTTCGTCACCAAATTTGCAACTTAGAAAAACGTAACAACGATCGAAATGTAGAATAGGTATAATCGTAAATTTCGAAGATTGCTTGAAACGAAACGGAACGTCGAATACCAAAGTTGCCAAACGGGGAAAATTTTGATTCGAGTCGAAATGCAGAATAGAGCTGACTGTATATTTTTTGGGTATTTATTCAAACACAACAAATTCGTGAATAGTATTATGTATTATCACTTTACATCCGTGCTGCTCAAAATTTTTGTATTGAAGTGAAATCACAATACAACTACAAAATTTATGTGTACACTGATATTTTTTTTTTTTTTTGTAATTTAAATGAAGCTAATAAGTACAAGTTTATTTTTATTGTACGATTAGTGAATGAAAATTGTTAGCAATGGGAGTCTTTACATACATATTTGTGAAAAATACAGTTAAGAAATGATGGCGACCTAGTGGCTGAAAAGTCCCATAAATTTAGTGGGAGGAATCCTTGGACATATTTACAACATATTGCACGCTAAAATTTTACATTTTCAAACCAACAAATTAAGAATTAAAAAGGTCGCCAAAACCATCATCATACATAAACAGAAGGCACGCCGTAAGCATACAGCAACCGATAAAAAGGATATGCAACAATAAAAAATAACTATGACAACTCAAAGGCAGTACTCACCAAATTTCAACATACATCCAAAAAATTGTTGCCCTGAAGACGGTTACCGCGGTGTAACGGAAATATATTGGAGAAAATTAAAAACCTGTGTTTTAAATAAAATTCCATAAAAAATGTTACCTCAAGACGGCAAAACCAACAAATTACGAATTAAAAAGGTCGCCAAAACCATCATCATACATAAACGGAAGACACGCTGTAAGCATACAGCTACCGAAAAAAGGGATATGCAACAATAAAAAATAACTATGACAACTCAAAGGCAGTAATCAACAAATTTCAACATACATCCAAAAAATTGTTGCCCTGAAGACGGTTACCGCGGTGTAACCGAAATATATTGGAGAAAATTAAAAACCTGTGTTTTAATTAAAGTTCCATAAAAAATTTTACCTCGAGCCGGCAAAACCAACAAATTAAGAATTAGAAAGGTCGCCAAAACCATCATCATACATAAACGGAAGGCACGCCGTAAGCATACAGAAACCGAAAAATGGGATATGCAATAATAAAAAATAACTATGATAACTCAAAGGCAGTAATCAGCAAATTGCAACATACATACATCCAAAAAGTTGTTGCCCTGAAGACGGCTACCGCGGTGTAACCGAAATATATTGGAGAAAATTAAAAACCTGCGTTTTAATTAAAATTCCATAAAAAATTTGACCTCGAGCCGGCAAAACCAACAAATTTTACATTTCCATTCGTAATTATACGGGATATTCCTCGCATATAAAAGTCCCATTTTAAAGCGTTAATAAATGATAGCACCATTGAAGCAATATGCAATAAAATTTAAAGAGGGCACCTTAAATCAAGGGTGGACAGGAGATAAGAGTTTCTCCAACATTAATTTATAATTTTATTTTTTGCGCGAAGTTTGCCGCACATTTATTGGCATTTTCCGTCAAAGTCGCGAAATTTTTTTTTCTGCAAACCGACGTTGGAAGAATATCTGCAATCCTATCAATTTTACGCGGTGTGATGCTCCCAGGGATCTGCGTTGGATTCAGATTGGAAATCAATACTTTTCTATATCCCCTTTGAAAATTTCCAAAAAGTTTTGAATATTTCGTCATTCGTTTAATAATTACAAAGCACAACATACACTAGGTACCAATCGCACTCAAAATTGCAAAAAAGATCTCGCGCTTCCACACTTTAATGAACGCCATGTGTTTTTATACCCGAGCGCACTTGTGCACAAGGGTATATTAATTTTGTTCACATAACGGTTGTTTGTAACAGCCAAAACGAATCGAGATAGATANTAAGCAAAACGTTGAAAATTATTGAAATCGGACTAAAATAACGGCCGCTTCTCATATAACGGTAAATTTCAGAAATGCTTGAAACTTCAATATTTCGAAATTGAAGGACGCTAATTTACTCAAAATTGATACACCCCGGCTTACCATCTAGCGGAAGGTTTCGGAAAGGTGAAAAAACATATTTAATACTTGCGCCGGGTATTTAATGTTCGGCTCCGCCCGAACTTAGACTTTCTTACTTGTTTTTTTTAATAAATTTCGTTTTCACTTTCAGTTAATACGAATGTTAAATCAATTTATAATATAAATTTGTTTCAGTGCTGACATATTTTTTATTAGTTTTTCATTCTATAATTGTTTGTGTAAATTTGTACATTTTACTTGAGTGCCTTAGCTTCATATGCGAGGGCGTTTGCTTTGCCCTTCCATATGAAACTCAGGCACTTTCATATGAATTGTGTTAATATGTCAGGGCATACGGGAGGGCGATACATATTTTTTTATATTTAAAGTGTAAATTTGTATATGTGCCTATACTTCAGGACAAAACAAAAACAAATGTGCTACAAGTGCTTATGGAGTAAGCCGCTCTGCTTTACATGCATATTCCGTATGTTAGTTGTGTACCTAGAGTACCTTTTCAAACCTAGTACCAAGAATTCAAAAGTGGTTCCTTTTATGTATAATTCGCGAATTCATGAAATGAAGTGTTTTGAAAAAATGGCAGCGCATTAGCGGGAAACTTAACAATAGGTGATATTTGAATTGGTTTTGATGTATAGTCAGCGGCAAAAATATTAATACCCTGATGCTTCTTTATTTATATTTCCCATACCCAATTTTTCTTATTTTTTATAAAAATATAGTTAGTTCAACAGCAAAAACCAGCAGAATGATTTTTTTAATATCATATAGAACACGGAAAATTCAAGAAATATCAAAAAATTTCATCAAAATTTTAAACTTTTCAATTCCATTCCTTAGAAAAATTTCGG